AGAAATTCTAGCAATTCCATTCAACCCTAACCTTGGTGTGCGCATTGGTTTATTTTGGAACATATCTTTAAAATGACCCTTCACGCAATTCTTAACCAAATTCACGTCCTCCACAACTTCCGAGTTTACCATGACAGAATTAACGGAATTCCTTATATTCCGTTGGCAGAAAATTGAATAAAAGTACTTAGAATTCTGATCACCTTTTGTATCCACCTAACTCTCGCTCAATGTTTTTATTTTTACAAATATTAGTTTCTCTCTTCTTCCATGACAAGTTTAACTCTTTTTATACAAAAGTTCAAATTCTCTTTAAATAAATATGAGACTTTGAACTTCAATTGTATAAAACTATCTTGTGATTTTTCAATTTCTCTTTAAAAATATGGCTTTTACGAATTTGAAGATAGTTTGACTATGCAAGATTTAATTACAATTGCATAATAATGTGTGTTTGAACTTCAATTGTATAAAACTACCTTGTGTTAAAGTTAGGTTTGTCTGTGCGATTAGAGGAAAGCAAAGTAAGTTTGATCTTTAACCATTTTTATGGATGTCTTTTTGCTCATCGAGTATTTGTCAATTTTTTTATAATGAAATTTCAAAAATATTGTATTTTCATTATTGTTGTTATTTTGTTCCAATAAATTAAACGCAATAATCCTGAAAAAGATAATCAGCTTATCATAACATGATACCATTTTACACACTGTCCATCAAGAACTAATTAAGTTATTTGCTGCTATAAGATTTCAAAATAGAAACTCAAAAGTTCAAAGCAATAGATCCAAATTCCTAAGCCGAAAATAAAAATAAATTTGTAATACGAATAATATATTTATCGTTTTAAATTGTTGTTGTAGTCGCGCATGCGATTGCATGTGTTGCCATTGCGATCATTGCAGTTGCTGCGATGCGCATTCCAACCATTGCAACGCGAATTTTATTGAAAAATATTTGAAATACACCATTGAAAAACTCATGATATGAATCTTTTACATTACAAATGAGATATGTAAATTGAGTTTTTTAGTCTCAAACTTTGAGTTATGATGAAAGTATGTGAAGAAACCTGGGCGAAGTTGTTTGATGTGAATACTAATGCAGTCGGACGCGTGATTTCAAATTGCACCACAATTGCGGTAGAATGCGAATACAATGACTATCACATTAGCAATATGGTAGCCATAGGTCCAATTGCGGATCATAATTTAAAACCATGAGTATATTATTCGTATTGAAAGATTTTGCTTTGTAATTTTATTAGAAGGAAAGGGATGGTATATGGTTTTATATAGTGTGAAAGAGATTTGAAGGAGATAGTTTGGTGAAATATTAAGAGCATTTGGAATATTAAGTTACTATAACTTCCCATGTCCTATTTTGAAGAATAAGAATTTATTTGGTTATGTGCTACGATTAGAAACTAACTATTCCTAATACTTCTTTTATGCATATTCTTGGCACATATTGGAATTCGAACTTGAGATTTTGATAGAAGAACTATTTCAAGTCTCAAGTCTTCATTTGTTTTCATATTTTAAAAATGTTATATGATTAAATTAGTTTCAGTATTTCTACAAAAGATCTCTGCATTTGAAAATATTCAACAATTTATCTCTTAAAAGGATAGATATTTGATCCTCCATGAAATATGTTGTTGAAAACAACATCGAAAATAAAAATACATCATAGGAATTCAATATTATTATAATATTATATGTAAAATACTACTATAAGTGGTTTACAAGTGAAAATAAATGTGTAATTCAATATTATTATGATATATATAAAAAATACAAACAATAGTGTCAAATAACTTGAAAAAAATATAAATAAATTTTATCATCCAAAAACGAGTAGCGTTAATTGGCCGCTTTACATCAATTTCGGTGTAATTCATACTATATTTATCAGTCATCCAATTAGTAGAGTAAAAATACTACTATCGGTATAACCTCATACAACTTCATCACACAAATGAGGCATGTATTTATCTGATTACATAACCCAACTTGTAAACTACTGTTTAAGGCTTAGAGATTGAAAGTGTTTGGGAGAAAAATGGAAAGAAGGAGAAAAGGGAACGGGGTGATTTGGGAGTGGTGGAAACTGGAGTTGGAGCTGGTGATGACACTGGTGGAATTTTGAATGATAGATCGGTTGATGGAAAGCTAGAAAATGGTGGAAGACTTCCTTTAGGTAATGATGGAATTACAGACAAATCTCGTGAATCCAACAAAGATGATTTTGGTAAAGATGGAATGGTAGGGTTTGAGAGTGTGGTTGTTTGAAGAAGATGGCGTGCCTCCACCTTCATGCTTGACATTGTTGCGACAATGAGCAAAGCTAGAATGAAGGGTTTGGAGGAAGCCATCGATGATAACTTGAAGATCGTATTGAGAGAAGTTGGTTTGGGATTTGATGAGAATGAAATGGAGGATTGGTGGGTTATATAGGGTGTGAGAGATTAGTAAAACTTTCTATATTTTAATTTTCTAAAAGTATTTTGTGGTTAGATTTGTTAGCTAATCATAGCATTTCAAAATTTTAATTATTGCCTTCAATGCATTCATTATTAATCATGAAAGTTGAGTTTTTATTCAACTATTTAACATATTAATTAGCTTATGAATTTTAATCCAACAAAAGGAATGCATCTGAAATTTCTTTTGTATATCCACAAAAATAAATAGCTAATTTCTTAAAAAAAGTAAAATGATATTAATTATAATTTTATATTAACTAATTTAGTTAAGGTTATGTTTAATAATAATTTTATTTCATCTATATTTTTATGAAATATTGAGTCAGTTGACATGTAGAAAACACGTGGAAGTCCAGTAATTAATTTTTTTTAATTTATTCATGTTATAATTTATGAACTTGATACCTATTTGTTTATATATTTTTTCTTAAATATCAGTTTGGCATGCTCATCATATGTAATATGTAAGGGTGTGTTCTTAGTTATGAATAAAATAAGGTTACAATGGAATGAAAGGGAAATGGATATTAAGATATGACATTAAAGTGGTAATATCAATTTTGTTAAAAATCACATCCTTAATTTTAAGAGACACAACATTTTTGTTATGTATTAGTCTTTGGACTCTTTGTAAACCAAATATGCATCTTTAACATGAGAAAATATGCTTATTATAGCCAACATTTACTTCACGAACATATAACAAATGTTGTGACACTAATTTGTATTTGTTTTTCTCTTTATAATTCACTTATGCTTTTATACAAGCGGTAACCCACATGCTCAGTTATATTTTATATAAGCAAGATTTTAATTCATTAAAGGTATTGAGGGGATCTTAACCCAATACATCCATCAAACAATTAAATTACACCAAACAACTTGAATGAAAAGCCACAGACATTTACTATATTCGTAATAGTTGAAATTACTTCTACAATTTGATTGCAAAGTTAACCACCACCAAGATAAAGCCACAACCCACTGCATAATCATATCGGGATCTCCAAATGCAATCATATCGTGATCTCCAAATGCGTCATTGTACATAATTAGTTTTATGATCCACTAGATACACCCACACACCACAAGCCATATACCAGTCGCGCACGCCAGTGACACTTTTCCTTTCAACTTTAGGATCCAAGCTAACAAATGACTGCAACACGTATCTTCTATAATGTTTTCCAACTCAAACCAAGGTAAACATATCTCCACATAGTCCTGGTTTTACAACAATTTAGAAAAAGATGAGTAGAGTCTTTGCTTTGCATAAAACAAAGTACACAAACCATATCGTGCAAGTTTGTAATGATGCTATGATTAGCCAAGTTAGGACGCGTAGGAAGCATCACAATAAGTAATCTCCAGCCAATAATCTTAACCTTGAATGTAATACATAATTTCCAAACAACCTGCACCACCAGTATACACATCTCATCTAGCTCAAATCCCGTTGTATCTGCATTTATCCTATGATAACATGACTTCACCGAAAAATGTTTGGATACACCAAATGGCCAGGACACCCTATCAAAAGCAAGCATAATCGATGAAACTTCCTGCAGCAAAGAAATAAGGTTGTTGTACTCCTCCTGCAAGGTGTCATCATTCTCCCACCCTTGTAAATCCACCTGCCAAATCCACTTTTTCCCAACCCAACACCCCATATCTTGCACTGTGACAAATTTGTTTTTAGAAATAACATAGAGACCTGGGAGAAAAACCTATAGGGGCCTTTTGCTACACCATATTTCGTGCCAAAACCATATTGATGAACTATCACCAAGGATGATAAAAATCAGATCCGCAAACGACTCTCCTCTAGGATTATTACCAAGATTCAAAACATCTCTCCACCATAACGATACATATCGCCGTGCTAGAATTCTAACCCAAAGGGGATGTTTCTCCACTAAAAATATACATAGCCACTTGGTTATCAAGGAAGTATTAAAGGAACAGAGAGAGAGAGAGAGAGAGAGAGAGAGAGAGAGAGAGAGAGAGAGAGAGAGAGAGAGAGAGATCTAATGCCTAATCCACCTTCATTTTTTGTTTTGCAAACAGAAGCCCAACTTACCCAATAAACCCCGTTGTAATTCTTTGCGATAAACCACAAGATTTTTCGTTGAATTGAGATCAATTCATGCAAAACTTTGTGCGGTACCTTGTAGAAAGACACGAATTTAATAGAAAGGTACATCAAAACAATATTGATCATAATCACATGACCTCCTATAGATAGTAGCCTTCCAATCCACAGGGACAATCTCGATTTCATGCCTTCAATGACAGAATTCCAAAACGCCACGCGCCTATGATTTCCACCACTGACTAACTCAAGAAACTTAAACGGAATTGAATCAATTTTGCGTTCCAGGAATTGCTCTGCGCCTTTAATTAATGATTCTCCGATTCCCACACCATATAAACTACTCTTTCTTATGTTGATTTTCAAACCATACAAAATTTTGAAACCCTTAAGAATAGATTTAAAAGCCCATATACTACCTCAAGCAACTTCGCATATTAACATCGTATCATCCGTGTACTGAAGTAGATTGTAAGATACACCTTCAATAACCTCAAATCCTCTTAGGATACCTGCCTCCGCAGCTCTTCGAACCAATATTGCCAAGCCTTCTACCACAATGGTAATTAGAAAGGGAGACAAGGGATCTCCTTGTCTTAATACCTTCATCACCTTAAAATCTTGAGTTTGACTACCGTTAACAATAACTGACATATAACTACTCAAAACACTGTTCTTAATCCATTTCACCCATTTACTTCCAAAACCCATGGCTGCCAACATGTACCTTAGATAGCCCCAGTCCGCACAATCATAAGTCCTTGTAAAGTCTACCTTGAGAAGGACACAACATTTATTCTTCCTCTTTGCAAGATCAATGAGTTTGTTCACCACAACGACTCAGTGTACTAGCTTCCTGCCCTTGATGAAAGCAGTTTGAGAACTTGCAATAATGTTTCCCATAACACCTCTAATCCTAGAGGCCAATAACTTGGATAAAACCTTATACACACACCCAATAAGACAAATGGGCCTATAATCATCCAAGTGTTGAGGGTTATCAAGATTTGGGATAAAAGTAATAAATGAAGAAGTTAGAGCCTTAGGCCACAAAGTTTCATAGTAAAATTGTTGAATGCACCGAACCACGTCCGCACCCAAGACATCCCATGTTTTTTTGTAAAAATTCAATGTTAAAACTGTCCGGGCCAGGGCTTCTATTACCTTCACTATTGAATACCACCTCCCTGATGTCGTCTTCAATAAAAAATTCCTCCAATCTAGCACTTTCTTCTAAAAAAATTCTAGCAATTCCATTCAACCCTAACCTTGGGGTGCACATTGGTTTATTTTGGAACCTATCTTCAAAATGACCCTTCACATAATTCTTAACCAAATTCACGTCCTCCATAACTTCCGAGTTTACCATGATAGAATTAATGGAATTCCTTCTATTCCGTTGGTGGAAAATTGAATGAAATTACTTAGAATTCTGATCACCATCTTATATCCACCTAACTCTCGCTCAGTGTTTATATTTCTAAAAATATTAGTTTCTATCTTCTTCCATGACAAGTTTAACTCTTTTTATACAAAAGTTCAATTTCTCTTTAAATAAATATGAGACTTTGAACTTTAATTGTATAGAACTATCTTGTGATTTTTCAATTTCTCTTTACAAATATGGCTTTTACGAATTTGAAGATAGTTTGACTATGCAAGATTGAATTACAATTGCATAATAATGTGAGTTTGAACTTCAATTGTATAAAATCATCTTGCGTTGAAGTTAGGTTTTTCTGTGCGATTAAAGGAAAGCAAAACAAATTTGATCTTTAACCATTTTTATGGATGTCTTTTTGCTCATTGAGTATTTGTCAATTTTTTTTATAATAAAATTTCAAAAATATTGTATTTTCATTATTGTTGTTATTTTGTTCCAATCAATTAAAAACTCCAAAATATCTTGTTTATCTAAAAAGTGTCTGATTTGTACTAGTTGGTATTAAATGCAATAATCCTTAAAAAGATAATGAACTTATCATAACAAGATACCATTGTACACACTATTAGAAATTGTCCATCAATAACTAATTAAGTTATTTGCTACTATAAGATATCAAAGAAAAAGACAGAATAGCTGTATCAATAATAGAAATTCAAAATTTCAAAGCATTAAATCCAAATTCCTAAGCGAAAAATAAAAATAAATTCCCAATACGAATAATATACTCATCGTTTTAAATTGTAGTTGTAGTCGCGCATGCGATTGCGTGTGTTGCGATGACGATCATTGCAGTTGCTGCGATGGGTATTCCGACCATTGCAGCACGAACTTTATTGAAAAATATTTGAAATACACCATTGAAAAATTTATGATATTAATCTTTTACATTGCAAATGAGATATGTAAATTGAGTTTTTTAGTCTGAAACTTTGAGTTATGATGAAAATATGTGAAGAAACCTGGGTGAAGTTGTTTTATGTGAATTCTAATGCAGTTAGACGTGTATTGCGGTACAATGCGAATGCGGTGACTATCGCATCTGCATATCAATATGACGGAGTGGAAAATGATCCTTTGGTCTCTCTCTATCCAGGTCTCTATAATCAACACACATCCTGACTTTGTCGTCCTTCTTAGGCACAGGCACGATGTTCGCAACCCACAGAGGATAGTTTGTCACAGCAAGAAATCCGGCGTCTAACTGCTTCTGGACTTCTTCTTTGATCTTCACTGCCATATCCGGCCTGGTTCTTCTCAACTTCTGTTTAACAGGAGGACACTCTTCTCGAAGACGCAGGCGATGGACTACAATATTTGTGTCGAGTCCAGGCATATCTTCATATGACCAAGCAAAAACATCCCTGTACTCTTGGAGTAACTCAACCAGTCTTCGCTTGACATCATTTTGCAGTGCGGCCCCTATTCTGACTTCCTTCTTATCTTCCTCAGTTCCCAGGTTGACGACTTCAACTTCCTCCTGATGAGGCAGGATGACCTTCTCCTCTTGTCTTAACAATCTGGCAAGTTCTTCGGGTAGGTCTTCGTCTTCATCAATCTCTTCTTCTGCTTGAAAGATCGGGTTGTCAAAGTCACACCGAGTCATAGGCGAGTCTGAGTCGATGGTATCTGAAATGTGTAACCTGCAATGATGATGATTTTATGCTTAAATAATATGCAAACAAACAAACACAAACCACATTGCCATTTTATTGTTAGAAAATAAAAACAAGAAAAATAAATTCTCACAAAATTTTGAATGAAAAAGACACCTTTTTTATTGATAATGATAAAAGATTGCTTGCGCACATAATAGATAAGGCCCTACAAAATAAAGACCATTATGCTCCGGGAAGAACATAAGGTGATACATTAATTAAAACAAAGCAATTACTCTTCATAGGTCACACAGATGACTTCCTCCACAGTCCAATTCTTCAAACCCTGGCCAGGGACACATGGCTTGATCCACGCATCCATGTCGCAGTCGCTGTCTCCTTCCTCGTCAGATACGACATTGATTCTTTCAAATATCACCCCACCACTGGTGAACTGAACAGGTCCTTTGTAACGTGGAACGTCTTGTGAAGAAGATGCATACGGGTTGTACCCTAATCCAAACTTATCTTGTTTGTTGGGGACGCTTACCACTTTACCCCATCCTTGTACTGCTCCAGATTCCACTACAGCTTGGGCTTCCTTGTATGATGACATGGCAACTTCTGGAGTTTTGACCTCGATCGGCGCCTTTTCCTTGATTTGAACAATTTCAATGGCCTGACACAATGTTTCATGAATCTCACCATCTACCTCCACATACTTGAATGAGGACATATGGCTCACCATGATGTCTTCTTCTCCACAAACAGTCACAATATTCCCATCCACCATGTACTTCAACTTCTGGTGCAACGTCGATGTTACAGCTCCTGCTGAGTGTATCCAAGGCCGACCCAAAAGGCAGCTGTAAGCAGGATGGATATCCATGATGTAAAAAACTGCTTCAAACACCTCCGGGCCTATTTGGATAGGCAGAGTTATCTCCCCAAAAATAGATCTTCGAGTTCCATCAAAAGCTCGCACAACCAAATCACTAGGCGTACAATAAAGACCTTGATGATCTATCTTCATCAATGCTTTCTTTGGCAACACATTCAAGGACGACCTTGTATTAACATGGACGTGCGACATCATTGTTCCTCGACACTCAAGTGAAATATGCAAAGCCAAGTTGTGGTATCTCCCCTTCGGTGTCAAATCACGATCAGTGAATCCCAACCCGTTACCTGCATTGACGTGGGCCACCACCCCTTCCAACTGATTTACGGATATCTCTTGAGGTACGTAAGCATTATTCAAAACCCTGAGCAAAGCATTCTTGTGAACTTCAGAACATAATAGCAATGACAAGATGGAAATCTTTGAAGGAGTTTGTTGTAAATGATCCATAATTTTGTAGTCACTCTTCCTTATGAAACGCATAAATTCCTCTGCGTCCTTCAGCAAGGATTCCCTTTCTTTAGTCTGAGAACTCTCTTCAACCACTACTTTCCCTTTTCCTTTGTCGGTTCTGTCTGCATTTGCCTCGGGAGGTGCAAACACTCTTCCACTTTGAGTCATTCCTCCAGTTCCCACCAAATTATCAATCGAGTCCAAGGGCGAATTCTTTAATTCCTGCTTCTTCCCATTGCAATAGACCTCGGCCCCATAGTTCCAAGGGATTGATTTGGTGCTCTCGTAAGGTACAGGCCCCGCTTTTGTGAATATAATAATTGGTCTCGCAGAAATTGTAATTGTTTTGTACGGGATGGAGATAATGGCCACCTCCTCATCTTCAATGGCTACCTCTTCAACATTCTTCTCACAGATTCTATCAAATTGCAATAGACCGTCATCCATCATGCATTGTATATGGTTCTTCAGATTCCGACATTCTTCGGGACAAACCAAACATTCCTCACAATCCTCTTCAGAGCCCGAGAACACCCCTCCTTCTAACATCTTGCTCTTCATAAAACCTAACGGTGTCTTCATATTTTCCACATTGGACACCAAGTTCAGGCCTTCTTCACTGACAATAGCATTCACACCATCACCCCTACCATGGTTAGGCATGGGATTTTGATCCATGTTTGGCGCATCCTGATTGAAGTTGATAGCCTTACTATCAACAAGGTCATGTACCTTGTGTTTGAAGGCTTTACAATTGTCGATGTTGTGGCCAGGGGCGCCAGAGTGGAATTCACACCTAGCGTTGGCGTCATACCCGGGAGGTGGTTGGCTAGTTAGAGGTGCCATTGTCCTTTTCTGAACCAACTGCAGCTGAATTAAGTGTTGTAATAACTGAGCATAGGGCATCGACGGTGTGTCAAAATGCCTATCCATCATCCTTCTCCGATCTTGGAACTGTCTCGGTGCATAATTCTGTTGTTGAGGTCGTTGTTGTTGCTGTTGCTGACGTGGTTGTTGTTGTTGAGGTTGTACCGCCGGAATGGCAATACTAGCCACTTGTGGAGGTTGCTGATAATACGGTCGCTGCTGACGCTAATTCGGATATCTATTTCGATTGTCAAATCCGGACACTGCATTTGTCTCGTTATCTCTCTTCTTTGCACCGAAAATCTTTCTTCCGCCTCCAGATGAGGTCCCTTCTCCCACTTGTATCTTTCCCATCTTAATACCGTTTTCAACCCTCTCGCCGGTAATAATAAAGTCCGAAAAGCTCCCAGACATGCTACTCACTAACTTATCATAGTAAATTCCCGGT